GCGTGCCTGTTGTACGTGGCCCCCCAGCCGGTGGTGGAGGCATCCGTGTAAACCACAGCATGCCTGTAGACCTGTTCCAGGGGCACTCCTGCCCGGAGATACGCAAGGTCTGACCACGGGGTGAAGGTTTGGCGACAGGCAGGTGTAACTTGGACCCCGGATGCAGCGCGGGAGCGGACGCAGGGGGCCGCCCTCGGCAATGAGCAGGCTAAGCGTGGACATCGCACGACCCAGAGAACCCGCGGTGACCTTCGTCACTCAGAGCGTGAGGTCAGTAGCGTTTCGGAGCTCTTTTAGAACTTCCGGATCGTGACCACCCTCGTGCAGGTCCTTCAGTGCCTTGGCCTGGTGCACCTGCAGTAACGCCATAGCGTGTAAGGCGGAGGCAGCTTCTCCACAAGACCAGACAAATGCCTACAGGCCCGGGAGGGGAGCAACGGGTTTCCCCGCCAGGAGGAAGCGGTCTTTGGACACAACTGCATTGCTACCAACCGCTGCACCACCATCGAGGGTGGTGAGGGAGGAGGAGCTAGCAGGCCGGTTTCTGGCAGTAAAAGGTGCCATCCACGACCTGGTGAGCTCCTCATGCACCTTATCGCGGTAGAGGCAACGGAACTCCGCCCTCCTGGAGGTAACGAAGCCTGTTCCGCAGCTCCGAGATGGTCATCTTCCCGCAATGGGAACATGACTCATCCACGAACGCCACCTCAGCGTGTTTAATGCCCAGACACGTGAGGCAGCGATCGTGACCATCACCCGGCACCAGGTAACGACCGCATCCAGAAACGCACGAGTGAAACGGCATCTTTAAAAAGACGATCCGTCGTCTTTACAAAGAGCTCACCCGTGTGAGCTCTTTTAGAGAAAATTGGCTCTTTCAGGGAAATGCTCTTTTACGTGCTGAGACGCACAGGGGAGAGGGCCGCTTGCAGCACGACAGGGGGTAGTGCAACCTGAAGTGCACAACCCACTCGACACAGGAACGACCACCGCTGAAGCGCCGTCCGCCAACACCAAAAGCTTCCAAGAGCGCGTTGAACTCGTAGTTCACTGAAGACACTGGTAAGAGCAGAACGATGTTGTCGCTCGGCCCCGAAGCGAAAAGCTGGTATGCGTTGCATTGGCTGCCTTTTTATGCTCACGCTGTGATCAGCGGCAGCTGGATGCAATTATCGCATGCCAATGACCATTGGCTCGTTTAGTTTACACTCGAAGTAGATAGGTCTCTCGAAGCGAGATCCCAATTCATCGGTCACCGACATGACGTAGAGAGTGACCGACTGAAAGGGAATTCAGTACTTGTGGTTTATCTTAACTTAAATTATTCATGGTTGCTTGGGATCTTGATAGTCAAGAATCACCTTAATAAATGACAGGAAGATGAATGATTGAGTCAATTTTTAAATGTAGGATTAAAATAACAAACAGCTCTTGTGAAAACTACTTGGAGCACAACAGTGGCATCTGTTGGTAAAATATATATCTGCATAAACCCAGTTAACAGAACTTTCTAGCAAGGTTCTCTCAAAAGTTATGAACAAACATTCTTCCAGTAATGTTAATAGAATGTTTGTTCAAAGTTATCTGGTCTTTAAAAACATTCTCAAAAATTTAGCACAGAAAGAACGCGCTCTCATCCACATCACGAGTAGACACGCCCCTTATTGCTGATTGGCTACAAGTTTGTTTTGCGATTCGGCCCGAATCAGTTTTATAAAGTGTTTTTGAAAAATCACTTACTATGCCTTTAATACATTGTCCATGGAATGTTTTTTTCCTGAAACATGTTTAAATGTTACTACTTGTTCAGAGAACATTCAAACGCAAAATTCCAATAATGTTTGCAAATTGGAACGTTCTCTTAACATTCACATAACCAAGAAAAAAATGTTTTAAAACATGAAAAAAAAACTGGGGTATTCAGAAATAGCATTTTTAACTTAATGGGAAACATGTTTTTGTAAGCTAGGAATGCTGGCCTCCAAACTGAACATCCAGACCAGGAAGATCTGCCAACTTCAACATATAGGCTATAAACACTCTAACTCTAACTCTCGTTGCAGGAAACACTTAGACAATGAGTATGTGATCTGTCTGTCTTTCTGACGGTCTGAGTCACTGCATTGCGGCAGATAGGGCCCGCAAGAGTCTTATCATGCATGCCAGAGAGACGGTGACTGATCCAAGCTCATGATGATAGGACTTTTTGCATTTTAAATATTTAAATATTTAAACCCTTAAATTCTTTATAAACATCATCACTTTGGTCATTCACAGTGTGCTAAACTGACTCTACAGCACAATTGTTCTTCTTCAATTAAATGCAGTAGTCTGTTCTACTAGCTTGCTAATTCAGTGTCACACTGACTAGTACTGTACCTTATGTGACATATGGGTGACTCCCTCTTAGTGATGTCATCAGTGGTATTACACACACAGTGGGCACTTCAGACTCACGGTCAAGGCTATTACTGCTCTTTCAACGTGCCAAATCTATCATTATGCGTGAGATTGTTCATCTACAGATCGGACAGTGTGGGAATCAGATCGGCTCAAAGGTGCGATGGCTCCAAATATGTGTTTTTATGTGTATTTTTATAATCAGCAGCTGCATTTTCATCTTAACCTCAACTTGATTTCAAGCTAGAGAATCTGATGCAGGCTTAACAGACAAATGAGCATGCATTTCTTTATTATGAGTATTTATTAGTAGTTCATTTATTCAGTTGTTTATGCCATGCATTTCTTTTATTATTATAGCAAATTTTGGAGTTTACTGTGATTTTGAACAGCATTCTATTAGTAGCTAAATATTGCAGTAATGTGCTTTTTCAGTTAAAAGCAATAGCTTTTAGAAGCTAAAACTTCTTTACTACTATATTTTCGAAGTATGAAGTATTTTTAAACTGAATAAATATTTCAAGTTATGATACGTGCGGTCAAGGGAGTTCACCCTAGAGTGGTCTACTGTAAGATAAGAGGCACAGAGCCTCCTCTGACGGGGTGGGCCTTCTTTATCATGGAAATGAGCTTAACGGCCTGTGAATTTCTGAGTGATAGATGCAGTAGAATTGTGGTCAAAACTGAATGGCATCTGGAAGAACAATTGCAAGATACTTAAACTTAACAGATAAGTCAGTTATTGAAGGCCTCCTCTGGCTATGTGTGTTGAAAATGACAGTTTTGTTCACTCATTCAGTGCTGAAGAAATCAGTCTGAGCAGATCACAATGCAGTAGAGTGGAGAAAATATGGTCATTAATTTTCAAGCTAAAAAGGTTTTCATGTATTTGCAGTTCTGGGAGGTGATCAGTGATGAACATGGTATTAACAGAGCAGGAGCGTATGAGGGCGACATGGACCTTCAGCTGGAGAGGGTCAATGTTTACTTCAATGAAGCACATGGTATACAGACCTACACATTACATTCATGTTTTCTGTTTCTATACAGTGGCTATTAAAATATTTGTAGGGATTCCCAAACTTTTTTTCAGTCAAACCCCTTGGATATCAAATATTTACTTAAAGTACATCCTGAAATTTGTAATGCAGATCAGACTATACAGTTATTTATTTAAATTGCAGCCTTGGATTTGATAATCGCACTAAGCTATATCGTAATTATCATGCAACCCCATTTATTTATTTGTATTATTAGCTTTTCATCAACTCACAAACCACTGCAGTTCCCTCACAAACCCAAATGATATTCATACATTTTTAGCACATAAATAAATATCTATATTATATAATATATTACATGTATAAGATTGTATTCTATATTGGGTTGAAAATGCTTTTATAAATATACATTTTATATATTTTTTCATAGCATGTTTTTATTTATTTATTTTAATTAAATTGTATCCATTCTGTATTTTTGTTATCATTGTAAATTGTGGGAGTTATATATTATGATAAAAGTACTCGGCTACAGATGGAACACAGTAACATCCTATAACAAAATTCTCAGTGACTGAGATGTTTCATTGCCTCTCAGGGGGCAAATATGTTCCAAGAGCATTGTTAGTGGACCTGGAGCCAGGCACTATGGACAGCGTGAGGGGCAGTCACATAGGACAGCTCTTCAGACCGGATAACTATATACACGGTGAGCCAACCATCACCTACATTAAAGACATTTTATTTTGGTACCATGTGGGTTGACAATGTAAGCTTTGATTATTCTCATCTTATTAACTTCTATAAACTATAAACAGGGTTGGTTTCATCACTTCTGAATCTCTTAAAAGTAAAGCTTCCAAAACGGGGTTTCGCAGTGATGCCATAGAAGAACCATTTTGGGTTCCATGAAACTAATCAGTGCATATAAACGTTCAAGTTGTTTCCTGTTATTTTTGAAGATCATTTGTATTTTTTGAGTTATAAGAATAGACTGTCATATGAGCATGTTGCTCATCAATATAAGAGCTGTATATGGCATCTTTTGACATGAGAACTAAAGAACGTCATCATTCATGTTACTTTGTGTGCAGATTGAATATCAGTATAATTTTTATCAATAATAAAAAGATAAACCTGTTGACTTAAACACTTCAAATGCACGGCAATTATTTTCTGTTAAAGTTACAGTTTAATTTATCCAGAAAGGTGTGCCAAAGTGAAATTGGAGTAAAAACACAAATATAATTTAATAATGTTAAAGAATGCCCAAAGAACCCTTTTGAGTCAAAAAGTATTCTTTATCTTGTATGCAGAATGGAAATGGAAAATTACATTTTTTATTTTTTTTTCCTAACCATGAACTAATAAACTCACTGTCAACAGTCTGAAATAGTCTTGTCAAAAAATATAGTTCTAAACTTATTCCTAATCCCCACCCTTACTATGTACTACTCCTAAAATCAGATGGAAATAAGAATATTCTTAAAGCTCCAACCCCACTTGGTATCCCTCACCATGAGCGGGGTCACGACCTCCCTTCGCTTCCCAGGTCAACTGAACGCTGACCTTCGGAAGCTGGCCGTCAATATGGTGCCCTTCCCGCGTCTCCATTTCTTCATGCCTGGTTTCGCTCCTCTCACTGCACGCGGTAGCCAACAATACCGTGCCATAACGGTGCCCGAGCTCACCCAGCAGATGTTCGACGCCCGAAATATGATGACCGCGTGCGACCCACGTCGAGGACGCTATCTGACAGTCGCAGGCATTTTCCGTGGTCGCATGTCCACTAAAGAGGTCGATGAGCAGATGCTCGCCATTCAACAGAAGAACAGCAATTACTTCGTAGATTGGATCCCTCACAACGTCAAAGTGGCCGTTTGTGACATCCCACCACGAGGCCTCAAAATGTCCTCCACCTTCATCGGAAACAACACCGCCATCCAGGAGATATTCAAGCGCATTGGAGAGCAGTTCACGCTCATGTTTCGACGCAAGGCCTTCCTGCATTGGTACACGGGGGAGGGCATGGATGAGCTGGAGTTCACCGAGGCCGAGAGCAACATGAATGATTTGGTTTCAGAGTACCAGCAATATCAGGATGCCACCGCCGAAATGGATTACGATGCAGAAGATGAAGTGACAGAAGAGGAGGGTCTGTCATCAACAGCACTCAGCACTCGAGTGGAGATTAAGACTGAGGTGGTCACTGAAACTTCTGTTAGTGAATGACGCGTGGGCTTTAGTGAATATGACAAGAGTGGATCTGATTGTGTAAAGAGTGAGAACATTCAGTGACCCCAAAAAGTATTTAGACACTTAAGATACAGTTAAAATTAATATAGGAATTACATTGCGTTAGAAAAAATGCTTGGTTTGAAAGGTGTGCTTTTTAAATGAAACTTTTTTTTTATTTTTTATTTTTGTAATTCAATGACAATGTGCCTTAAGTGTTCAAATACTATTTGGAGCCACTGTTCATGGCAAACTGTGAAATATTTCTGACCTCCAGGATGATGAATTACACAAATTTAAATAGGATATGGAGTCAAAATTCAAATATAATTTTCTAATCTTTGCTATATATTTTCAAACGTTTGGGGTCGATATGTTTTTGAAAGTCTCACCAAGGCTGCATTCTGTGTTTTTCTGTCAATATGGGGTGCTGTGTGTACATTAATGAGGAAAAAAAATTAACTTAAATGATTTTAGCAAATGGCTGCAATATAACAAAGAGTGAAAAATTTAAGGGGGTCTGAATACTTTCCGTACCCACTGTATATAATGAAATGTAATTCCTGTGATGGAAAGCTGAACTTTCAGAAAAAAATCATTTCTTATTAATATCAATGTTAAAAAAAGTTTTCAGGATTCTTTGATGAATAGAAAGGATTAAAAGAACAGCATTTATGTCATATGGAAATCTTTTGTAACATTATAAATGTTACATTTGATCAATTTAATGCATCCTTATCAAATAAAAGTATGCATTCCTTTAAAGAAACAATCTCACTGACCCCAGACTTTTGAATGGTAGTGAATAGTTTGTTGTAAAGCTTATTTTATATAAAGAAATTAAAAAATGAATCTATATTGTGTAACATCACTGGAGAATACAATTTCTGTATGTTCTGTAATAATGAAATCTTGAGAACAATACATGGAAAAACAGATTTAGTCAAAACGTTTTTCTTTTGTGTGGTGTAATAGTGCGATATAGACGCTTAAATTCTTCTGTCATTTGTTGTCAATATTTTAAAAAATGCTACATTTTTGTTTTTGTTAATTTTGCTTATCCTTTAAAACCATGATACAAAATGATTTTATCAATATAAACTGCAACTTTTTCAGAATATATTTGATGTATCTGCATTGTACTTGAGTATTTATAATGCTAAGAACTTTCACGTGTTTACCATTTCATTGTCATTTATGTCATTCACCCATCAGTTTTCTTGCTAAATGTATTAAAATAAATTTTTTGGGATATCAGTAAGCAACAGAGACTAACCTATTCATTTTGCGAATCTAAGGGGTTTTACATAACGCTGTATATATCTAAACAAAATAAATCCATCTCTGAAAATCTTGCTGTTTTGTTCATGTAAAATAATAGATAACATCTCTACATAGTTAAACCTGATGTACACCTCCTTCCTTGCAGAGCCTGAGAAATATTAATTATATACAAAGAGCACTGTAAATATTAAAAAGCCAAATCTGCCCACATCTTACGCTGAGATCACACTAAATCCAACATTTACTTTATTTTTAAATAACTACTGGGCTGCAAACTGCTAACCGTTTTAGTGTCTCTTTTGATGATGCTGTAAAACCAGACATAACCAATAGATTAACAGTACACAATAAACTCAGTTTGCCCAATGAACACCTGCTAAACAGAAAACTCTTTGGATCAAGACCACACCAAGGGAAGGCTGTTTTAGTTTGAGACTCTTCATAATTTATTATCAAAAGAATACAACTATTTTCATTCAATCATCATAACTGCAGGTATTGTTGTAAATCCTACAGAGAACGTATGTGGAGAAGTGGGGATTGAAGGGTGTAATTACAGATCCTACAAAAAAGCAGAAAAGACAATCACTTTTAACAACAAAGATCTAAAAAATAGGTTAAGAGGTCAGTTAATGCATCGCTTTCTACAAGTGCCGTACAGTTCTGAAAAACAGCTGAAATTTTAACTCACATTATACAGTCTTCACTTTAGTGACCTTCACACTGGATTCTGCGTTTCTAATCGCCTCAGTTTTCAACTGTGGCTTCAGTGCTGCCCGCACGACCCTGGCGCAGATAGCCGAGTACCTGATGTAACTGAAATGACAAGAGAAATATTAAGTTACTGAATAACTCAAGCAAAAATTGCTCGTATGAATACGTCCACTGTCAAAATCAAAATGACGCTATTACTATAACGTTAGTCTAATTCATAGCTCTACAGAGCAAGGCCAAACCGTACAGCACATATATAGCGCACAGATTAGAGAGCGTACAGCACTTAAAACACAAATTACACAACTTTTTACGTTATTAATTGTCATTCTGGTACCTCAGCCCTGCTTGTCTCCAGTAAGCCACCATTTTTTCGTGCAAAAGTGTATCTTGCGTCCGTCAAATGCTGCGGTTCGCGCTGATCAAGGACGAGAGCGAGGCCTGTACGTTCGCCGGAAATACGTCATAGGCCAGCGTACAGTCTCATTGGCTGGCAAACACGCCACTCGTTACACTGCCACCTGGAATTGAACCAATCACCGCAGTTTAATGATACAAAACGTACATTAACCATGACCTAGTTGAGTAAAATGTCAAAATAAAGAGGTTGAATTTTTGTGCATGGATATTTGAATTTGAATATGTAAGTTTTATTTACACAAATGCAGATTTGTGGTTTTGTGGCATTTAAACATGATTTGGGGGGAGGGGGATCATTCTCTCTCTCTATTACTTGCTATATAATAGAGAGTTGTTTAGAACCTATGAATGAATGAATGTTAGAATCATTATTATACTCATACCTTTTGTTCTTTTAATATTTTTGAATTGTTTTTAGCTTTATTTTTTTGTTTTCATTTAAATGTTTTAGTTTTGAAATGTTGTTGTATGCATTTGTCATTTTTATTTAATTTCTTTTATTTTCTTAAATGTGTGTGTATATATATAGTATTTATAGAGTTTTAGCTTTTAGTTTTAATTACATTTTCTTATTTGTAAGTCGCTTTGGATAAAAGCGTCTGCTAAATGACTAAAAGTAAAAGTAAAAAGTAAAAGTACTCTACCAGGATCAGGAAACAGTCCTCCATAAAATGCGCTGGACACATCTGAATA